CTCGTCAAAAATAGCTAACTGATTCAGAAGGAGATGTACTTAAGTATACTTTGATATTCTTTATTAAATTATAATCGTCATAAAGAAATGGTAACATTTTGTGTTACGACGAGTATACTCGTCAAAAATAGCTAACTGATTCAGAAGGAGATGTACTTAAGTATACTTTGATATTCTTTATTAAATTATAATCGTCATAAAGAAATGGTAACATTTTGTGTTACGACGAGTATAGTCGTCAAAAATAGCTAACTAATTTAGAAGGATATACTTAAGTATAATTCCATATTCTTTATTAAATTATAATCGTCATAAAGAAATGATAACATTTTATGTTACGACAAGTATACTCGTCAAAATTAACTGATTTAGAAGGATATACTTAAGTATACTTCGATATTCTTTATTAAATTATAATCGTCATAAAGAAATGGTAACATTTTGTGTTACGACGAGTATACTCGTCAAAAACAGCTAACCAGTTAACTACGCTAAATTTTGATTATTTTTCTACACGAAGTATATATACAAGAAAATTTCAAATATACAATTGGCAACACTGTCGTGTGTACGCTGTCTCCGGATTTAGTAATTCGAACGTCCTCTACAAAAAAATTACAATATTACATCAATTTCTGCAGGTTCTAGAGATTTGAATTTCTCGCGTCGATTTTCCTTGAGATACCGGTTCCGATCGATACCGACACCGACCAACGGAATCTTCAGCCGAGCGAAAGGTCGGACGAGCCATTAATTTGCATGAAAGCGACAGGCGATGAACAATCCGGTCGAGGACCGTTCGAGTCGAGCGACATTTCGGCGCATGTACTCTTACCACGGGAAACAGACAGTTTTGATATCCGCAGCTGCTGATAAAACGTCAGAATTGCGCAAACCGAGAGTGCAAATATTGAACGGTGAACTGCCGAACTTCCTTCCCTTCGTGTACCTTCCCAAAAGGTTACTCATGGAACGAGTTCCACGAACGAAAAATTATTTTCCATTCCTGAATTTCGAAGTATATTTTTAATGAATTCGATATTGATCTCCGAGTGGCTACACTTTAATTACCGTTGCCTTTGCGAATGAAATTCAGTGAAATTCTACTCTATTCTCTGTACCATTTGTTTTACTTGTAATAATCATCGTTTCTAAGTGGAAGTCGTGAAAGCAAGTTCGTGAAAGGAGCTGCAAATTTCGCTTCTACGTAACCTGTTACGCAGAGACACCCTGTATAAGCACAGTTACTTTACGAAAGCAAGATTCCTCGGGACATGCTATCTTTTAATCCATTATTTTTAGCAGTTCAGCTACCTGAAATCTGCGATTTCTTGATCGATCTCTCGCTCGAGATAACAATTGCGATCGTAAATCAATGAATCGGTCTCGGCAACATAAGCTAACGATCTATTGTATAACATTAATATTCCAAAAAAAAAGGATGTTTAAGTTTCTTTTTTATATACGATAACGTAGGAACGCAAATCCTATTAATAACTCTGCATAGTTTAACTCTCGCGCGTGGTTCTTTATTAATTACTCTGTACAGTCTTCCCCAGAAATTAAGTGAAATCGATTATATAATTTGTCCATTCCATTGTCAGGAGAAAAATAATAAATAAAATACTTTGAATTCACATGTTGCGCGACGATTATAATTTTGTGTTTTACATCAAGAAAATCCGATCGATGTTATACAAAATTCATATGCCATTAAATAATCATATAAACTATAAAGTAGCTACTAAAGCTGCTAAAGATTCATGTTATTCAAAATTGAAACGTGTAGCACTGTGTGTGTGCCGGGGTTTTCGAACTTCTCTCTTCGCACAGAGGAATTGTTACGCATCTATGGCGCACGCATGTTCGCAAAGATGTACCATAAACGCAACTCCGATGCATTCGTCGTACACGCAAAAAAATGTGCTATATTCGCCACAACAAGCTTTCTCGTTACAAATATTTTGCCAGTTTTTTTTCGCGACTGATTCATGGAAACGAGCGTATCAGCTGTGAGCGAACGCTGATAGCGAACGTATCAAACCCGTGGAAGAAATTTCGACAAAGCCAATCGTATCTATTTGCCCAAGTGATCAGATTATCGTTGTTCCAATATTTGTCTGGCATTCACAGAACACCTAGAATCGAATAGCGTTCCGTGTAAAAAAAAAAAGAGAAAAGAAACTTCTGTTAAACGTGTCGGCGATGATAACTCGAGCGACGGCCGCTATCGGCGAGCGCGTTTTATCTGGCCTGATTCCGGTCGCGTGAACCGCCCTTAAATACGAACCACATATGCAACACGTTTCCCTACCCGCATTCGGGCTCCGCATAACACAGCCGGTATCATCGTCAGCACCGGTTTCACATTCGCGTTAAAAGCCTACGCCGTGCAGCGTGACTCAACGCAGAAAGCATTCCCATCCCGGCTACAATAATACCATCGAACTTTCACAACACAACTCCGGTGACTGTAACGCGCGACTGCCATTCGCCCGAGAAGAAATCGTAAACCTGTTCAATCGGTCGAATCCTGATTAACATTTGTATAAGGCGTAATTGGAGAGGGATGGTAATGATATTCGAAGACGATTCGCCGCGGTTCGAAGCACTTATGCTTTTCGATCATTCCGGCGTAGCTACGGAATTCAACTCTATTTGCTGCAGCGATTAAACTCTTTGCTACAATAATTAACTCTTTGCTGCGGCGATTTTAACTCTTTGCACTTGGAAATGTTCCAAGACTGAAGTTCAACGTTTTCTTGCGGTATAGAATATTAACGCGTGGGATACCTTTTTGTTTATTTCTGTGGAACTGAATGCATCTGCTCGTATCGACGGACGGCTATTGTTCGTTGTTCAGCTTTTATAATGGAACCTGCAAAACTTGTTTTAAAAAAGAGTCGTTACAAGCGTCTGTTGACACTCTGACTGACACAACCTAAACGCCTCGAAAGCTCCTTAAAATCGAAGCAATTTGTCGAACCCTTAGGAACTCACCGTGAATGATAATATTATATTAAAATAGAGTAAATAGTCTGATGCAATTGTTATGCAGTGAACGTTTTAAATACTGTGGTGGGAATAATTATAGACACAAAGTGACTTCTACATTTCTTTAATGGTATTTAAACAAAAACTTAATAAAACGTCAAATTTGTGTATCTGTAAATTAGAAATAATAGAAAATAGGAATATTCAAACATAGTTTCTTTTCTTTTTTTCTTTTTATTTGGACATGAGTATCAAATGTAAAAGTTACTTTGAGTTTATAATTATTCACAGCACTGCGGATGACCTCCTTTTTAGCTGAAACACCCTTTATATTTTAAAAAGAACTTAACAAGATATCGTATATAATTCTATTTTCTATTATTTCTAATATAGAAATATACAAATATGATATTTTGTTATGTTTTCGATTAGATATCATTAACAATGTAAAAGCTTCTTTGAGTCTGCAATTATGCACACCACTGTACTATTGTTTATGGAGGAAGACAACGATTGTTTTAATCATTCTTCATTAGTTTCTCTTTTATGCTTTAATCCAGCAATTCTGTAACATTCGTAGCATCATGTTTTAATTAAATGAACCTGCAATGGCTGAATTTTCACCGGATAAGTATATGGGGGTTGAACATGCAATGCTTGTTGCGAAACCACTGTTACTCGGATCTAATTCCTATTTACACTAATTGTAAGCGAGAACTAGCAGCTACAATAATTAAAACTTTCATGTCATTAATAACTATCTGTGGTAAAGGGGAGATTTATAACTATTCTATACCTACATTACTACTTAATATTGATAATAGAAGTGTAGAAGCAAATTGATTTATTGTATAGAAATCAGTATTGATACCGATTTGCGTATGTTCCTAAATAATTCAATTAAAGTTGCTTGAAACATTCCTGAAAATTCTCAGCTGACTAAACGCAAAAATCCGATATTACCAGAAAGTAAAATCGACTAGAATTCCTGAAAATTCTCAGCTGACTAAACGCAAAAATCCGATATTACCAGAAAGTAAAATCGACTAGAATTCCTGAAAATTCTCAGCTGACTAAACGCAAAAATCCGATATTACCAGAAAGTAAAATCGACTAGAATTCCTGAAAATTCTCAGCTGACTAAACGCAAAAATCCGATATTACCAGAAAGTAAAATCGACTAGAATTCCTGAAAATTCTCAGCTGACTAAACGCAAAAATCCGATATTACCAGAAAGTAAAATCGACTAGAATTCCTGAAAATTCTCAGCTGACTAAATACAAAAATCCGATATTACCACAGAAAGTAAAATCGACTAAAAAATCGATTATAATTCCTGAAAATTCTCAGCTAACTAAATACAAAAATCCGATATTACCAGAAAGTAAAATCGACTAGAATTCCTGAAAATTCTCAGCTGACTAAATACAAAAATCCGATATTACCAGAAAGTAAAATCGACTAAAAAATCGACTAGAATTCCTGAAAATTCTCAGCTAACTAAATACAAAAATCCGATATTACTAAAAGGTAAAATCTACTAAAAGGTAAAATCGATTAAAAGATCGATTAGTATCGACTGAAGTCGAGTAAAAGATCTACTAAAACCGACTAAAATCGGCGAGCATAATCGACACCCCCGAGCAGACACGCTAGCAGACGAGCGCGGCAGGAGACGCGACAAGTGGTCGCGCCAGGCGTATGCCGTTGCGCATAATCGAATTGTCGGAAAAAGCTTGGGCTGGTATCAACACGGTTTCTTTCTCGTCCCACCGCGGGGCGGATCGGTTCGGTTGACGATAATAAATCGATCGGATGCGGCGATGGAAACGCACCAGATGGAACGGCGCACCGGCTCAATGTGACCGACTTGTTAGATGCACGCGCGTGCACGTGCACTCGGTCGCGGTGCGCTGCTACGTGCCGCCGCCGTCGAGCCCGCAAAACACCAAACAGTAAAAAGAAAAGAAAAAACAGGCACTGCAAAGCACGTCCGGATACTCACCAACGATAATGGATCACGGCGCAGAGTTCCCCTCCGACTGACGGCTCCGAACAATCACCCTAAACGAGCCGGTCAGCAATAAAGTTGCACAAATATATCGTTAACAGTAGGGCCACAACAGCACTGATCGAACGGAGCCCGCACTGTACCATACGACGCACTGTTAGCAACCGAGGCGCCAATGAACATGCAGGGAATCGGGACAGCGGGATCGATAGCTAACACCCGTGCACCTACGAATGTATCGGGCCACTAATAGGGAAGAACCAAGCTTTCCGTCGAAGTCCAAGCTCTCCTTCTCTGTCGAGCTTTTCCTGGTGACCTTCGATCGGTAAAGTCGTGTTCCCGACGGAAACCGTGGCGGACGATACGCGCGCGTTCACGTCCTCCGCGTAAATGCACGGCTGCCGGCACGTGTTGCTCAAGCGGACTTATTCTACTCCCATTTCTCGACCAATCGGACGGGACCACCTGTTACTAGAGAACCAGTCCCGCGCACGCGCCGGAGAACCTGTTGCGCGCGCATCGACATATCGCTGGCTCAACATGGCCGCTTCTGGTTTGAAATCGCGGGTTTAGATCTACTTTATCGCGTTTCCTTTTTCGCGCTTCTGAGAAATTGTGGGTTGTGCGCATGGAGCGTGGCTGTTTGCACGATTGTTTGAGGATTGTTGCTATCTAGGGGAGCGATTACAGTTTGATTTAATGCGGTGGATCAGTCGAGGGAATCCGTAGGTTTACCGACGTTCGTTTCCGAGTGGAATTTTCATTCGAATCTTTGGCACTGTTTATGTTTGAATGTTTATGAAATTACGAATGTCTGGTGACTTGTGAAATTGCTGATTAACGCGCCGTGCGACTTTACATGCCTGACGACTGTGATGGATGTACGATGACTGATCAAGGTTGAATGCATCGGAGTTTCTGAATCCTGATTAATTGTGAGTGCTATTATCCTCTTTGATTGTTATATAATCTTACTTGTTCTTGCTTAGTCTTCACATTGATTTATTATTATTTTGAGAGATATTAAGCGCGACGGTTAGAAGTGATGCATGAACGTAATAGAGGGCTAGAGGGAAATGGCGCGAGAATTGGACTACTAGAGACAGGACTTAAGAATAGGTTACTAAATCTAAACTTGACAAATTTAATTGATTTGTCAGCATCAATTGCTATATATATATAATATCTAAACTTGACAAATTTAATTGATTTGTATAGGAATTGATGCTGACAAATCAATTAAATTTGTCAAGATTAGATATTATATATATAGGAATTGATGTTGACAAATCAATTAAATTTGTCAAGTTTAGATATTATATATATATAGGAATTGATGCTGGCAAATCAATTAAATTTGTCAAGTTTAGATTTAGTAACCTATTCTTAAGTCCTGTCTCTAGTAGTCTAGTAGTCAATGTTCATCGATCTGTACTCTAAATACAATGTGCACTGTAAGGTCTCACAGTGACCGCTTCTCAATGGCGGGAATGCTTGAAAATTCGAAAGTCCTTCCGTTCTGTTTCCAAATAAATCGTTCGCTATAGCCATTTCAACACACTATACTAAAAGGTGCAGAAATAATTGTATCTAGACTGCGGATGTTTATGCAAAATGAAAATTTCCAATTTCCGACAAGCTGATACGAATCTCTTTGTTTAATCGTTTTAGTGAAAATAATATATTCTCTTGATCCTTATATATATATGTAATGTTTTAAATTTTACATACTCAGTTTTCTAAGCGCATAAAGTCCGCAGCCTGATTACATCCAATCTTGATTTCTAAAGGATATAATTACATTTATTATTCATTTGATTACATCGATAGAATCTGTGATACATGTTCGATGGACTACCAATATTTTAATACACACAAAAGGCATACGTTGCACGGGTTACGTGCAATAAGCAAATAAAGTATAAAAATATATACGTACGTAATGAAATAAAACGTGACATCTTTTTGTACGCATCACGCTAAATAGATAGCATTCAACTTTTACATAAGATACGGACAACCATTGGTTTGACGGTTAGCCCAGACTGATATCTAATTATCAAGGAACTTACCAGCAGCTTGAAGTCTGTAATTGTTCGAAAGCAAAAGCAACACTGTGTTTCGTTCTCACTATGTTCGCGATGACGATGATAGAAGTTTAAGTTTTCCCACTATTTATTTATATTTTCCTTTGTGTTCGAGATATAAACTGAATCGACAAAATTGACTATGTCATCCTCTGAATCTATAATTGCTGTGCAGTGTCCCGTTATTAATGTTCGATCGACATGTATATCCAAAGATTGTGCCAGAACTGAAAATAGTTTTAAAAACAAAAGTGCTTGGACGAGAATCATTAAATTTAGATAAATGCGTCTGTTTGAAGAGTACAGTGTATATATATATATTTATGTAATATATAGATATATATATGCATATATATATATCGTTTGGTGGTTTATAAGGTTAGGCTGATACCACGAAGTGCACTACAAAAATAATTTTCTCTAGTGTAAGGTAAATTTCGAAGCAAATTCTTTATTTGGATATTATTGTACATCATGCCATTTCTTTTGTGCCCACCACGCCAGTAAAAAATATTTCTTTCAACCAATCGTAGTTTATCTTGTATCAACCTCTAAGTTCTTTCATTTTTTTTTTCTTATATCAGGTACAATACAAGGCCAAACAATATATGATTATGTAATCTTTGTTCTCTTTCGATAGACCTCTGAATGATATAACTTTAACATTACCCCTTCATCAATTCTCTTATTGGTTTGTTGTCTTTTTTTTGTTTTGTTTGCCTTTGTATAGCATAACATAGTGTTCTCCAGTTTACAAGCGTACAATAAAAATAAAAATACTCCGTCTTGTTTCGTAGCGTTACAAAAACAACGATACAAATTCGTCGTGCCTGAAAAAACTTAAACGTTTTTGGCGAATAATACACGTGCGATACAAAAATAGTTTTCCATTCCCCTTGCGAACAACGTTTTACGCGCAGTTAAAGAAAAATAGACGAAAAATGATACGAGCGATTAATCAAGCATAAACGATTAAGTAAACGATCCCGACATTCGATCGTCGAGGAATCATCGCGAAGACCGCCGCACCGCCGCCTCCTCTCTCGTTTCCTTAACGTGAAAGCAGAAAACACATGACAGAAGAAGAAAATAATGATAACAAAGTACAACGTACTCGTTGCACGAACGAACGAACGACCAGCGTGATTGATTAAAAAGAAATAAATCGAAGACATTCAATCGAAAGTAAACGGAAGGAATAATATCTGTTCAGAATTCCTTCTTCATAGCAGATCTTAGCAACGCACTGCGCATCGACGTGACCAGTTTCTCGAGCTCCTCGACTTTCATCTTCAGTATCCTGTTGTCCCGCTCCAGATCGATCGCTTTCGTCGCCATCTCCGACTCCTTCGCCTTCTTGTTCATCCGCGACTTCCGCGACGCCTCGTTGTTCTTCTCCCTGGACTCGCGATAATGCAAAACCGTCCGATCCTCCGAATTCGAATCGGTTCGCCGCCTCTTAACCGTTTTCTCCCGCCTCGCTATCCTATTGTAACTCTTCTCTACTTTGTGGTACGTCTTCTCCAACGATGACCTCAGTCTCTCCGACTTTCGCGAAGATACGACGACTGGCGTTTCCGAAGATGACGAGGTCGCGGTTGATGCTGCCCGACTTCTGCTGTTCTCCTCGGCCACCGGTTTCGTTCGATTCTCCGCCTCCGATTTCCCATAAGATTGCGATATACTCTGCGACGAGTCCGCGATCGACCATGGTTTCGATACCACCGACGAATCCCTGGACACGCTACCCTCTGGCGAACGCATTTCGTCCTGGAAAAATACATACGCTCTTCGTTAGACACTCTAGTTTCGTCAAAAGACCAATTAACCACTTGCGCTGGAAAGATGTGTCATGAAACGTCGAGATGACGCACCTATCAATTGGTCGCCGGCGCAACTGGTTAAAATCGATTGCTTCGTTAAGGTAGTATTCTAGTGCGAACCATTGAAAAATTCGATTTCCGTTTACCTTTTTTTTGAAGAATATGCAGTGACGTTCATTAGTATTTGAACGATTTAACAAGTTTGGAAAATTACAGATTTATCGGTGGCAATCGATATGCTTATATTTGTTTTGCATTTCACTTGCATCTTAAAATTAAATATGTAATCGTTACAATAAGGGTATCTTGTTCATTATTTAAGGCTTAATGTCAACCTAAATGCCTTTCCTCAATATGTCTGCATTTTGCTTGGATTCCAATCTTGGCTATTCTCGACGTACACACTGCCGCTTTTAAATTATTGGACAGTTAATCATATTTTTTTGCTATGATAGCTGTCCAATTACTTATGAGCACTACGAAACAATGAACGATCAGAAATGCAAACAATAAGTGAGAAATATTGTATATTAATGAAATTAGTTGAGCAGATGCCTAGATTATGCAAAACTGTCATTTAAGGGCGGGCACACATTGGCGTAAGGCGTTTAGACCGAGTTAAGCATTAATTACTGCTAAAGAGACATATATGTACACTTAATTTAATATAAAGCAAATGTAACGATTATATATATATCGGTCACCACCAAAAACCTGTATCTTTCTCAACTTATACCGTTCGAATATTTATGCATGATACTTTAGGTTCGAAGATACAACAAAAAGTTTATGTTTGAACTCTCAAAACTAAGAAAGTTATCGTAAGTATAATATCCATAATAGGAATGCTTATTAGTGTTAGCACAAAAACTTAAATGTGTTTTTCTCGAATCTATGTTTCCTAAAACTGTGCCCACGATATCTCAAAAGTTACATAGCCAATTGCCTCCAAAATTTAGATGTATATTCAGTATACTTGTGCCTATAGTCCGTACTAGAAACAGCCTAAAATTTTGATTTTTTACAAAGTGTCAAATTTCAAAATGTCGCCATTTTTTTAATTGTCGACCTTTTTTCTTTTGTTTTAATAGCCGCTATAGCCAAACATACTAATTAAGATTCGTCTGTTTTTTTTTTAACTAGTGCCACCACTTTTAACTCTTTTCAAACCAAACAATTTTTAAATGATACTGAAACATGCATAAATAGACTTGATAAATGTGACTGTGAAAGGTGTTATAGTTTCTTCGCGAAATAAATCTCAAGAAAAGTTAAACAAGAATGCAATTTACATTAGAATACCCCTTTAAATTCGATCATAATGGAATAAGAATTTATATATATATATATATATATATATATATATATATATATATATATATA